ATTACATGCGAAGCATCTGTCTACTTGCATGGAATAGTATTCCAAGGCGCATAAGTTTGTAAGAGCATCTCCAACTGAACGTCAAATGTGCATATGGCGTCGTTCAGTCGCTCCAGCCAAACGTCAAATATTCCGTCATTTACTTGCGGGTGACTAGTGCGACGTCAATATTGACGTTGCACTCTTCACCTGCGCTATTTTGATCTCTCAACCTGAAAGACGTGCGAAAGGGAGAAGGATCATTACCTTCGCAGAAGTACTTAAAATGCAATTCGATTGGAGCAGCACCACGACATTTTGAAGTTTTGCTGTATTTTGCCGTGAAAAATGAAGTTCTCCGTTGGAGATGCCCTAATGCGACAATGAAAGACTTGGAAAAGAAGAGCCGCTTGTTTGGCCTTTTTTTTCTCCCTTAAAGAAATAATGGCCATCCAACTCTTTTGTTTCAAGGAAAAATGAAGAAGAAAATGTGTGAAAAAAAAAAAACTCTTAGAGATTATCTATTCAATTATGTTGGATCTAATGTCATCCATCAAAGATAGTACTAAACCCTTCAATGACTTTCGATCGAGCCTGAGTTACATAAAGAGAAAATTTGATTCCGAAATTCTTTTTCAGTGGCTTGATTTTACGATAGTTCTTTTTTTCTTGAGACATTTGGGCTAAATAAGACAAACACACATATCACATATATAAATTTGGGCTAAACTTCATATATAATATTAATTTTAAAATAAATCTAAAAATTTTAAATTCGATTTTATAAAAAATATATCTGATTTTTTTTTTAAAAATCTTATCAAGAGGATGATCTCCTCAAGCATCCAACAACTTTCATTTTTGTTATCTTATGCTCTGAAAATATTCAATGAAGTAAAAAGAGGGATATTTAGCAAAAGGCAACATATGTTTGGACAGGGAATTTACTATGTGCTTTTATACAAAATATATCTGATTTTTTTAAAAAAAAAAATCTTATCAAGAGGATGATCTCCTCAAGCATCCAACAACTTTCATTTTTGTTATCTTATGCTCTGTAAATATTCAATGAAGTAAAAAGAGGGATATTTAGCAAAAGGCAACATATGTTTGGACAGGGAATTTACTATGTGCAACTCTCAAGAGCTGAGAATGTGTCAAATTACTTGCATGGAATCTTTTAATTCTTCACATTAGTAAGGAAATCTTCAAAATAGTTACAAAGGGTATAGCTAAGAATTATTTAAACCAAAATTGTGGTGGATTTTGCTTATTTTTTGAGGAATTATTTGTTATAAAATCAATATTTTTCTATAGTGACAGAGAGTAAGGCGATTTTTTTCATCGCCTTGGTTGCCACTTGCCAGCACTTGATTGTCTACCACCAACGATTATCGAGGTCTGATGCCAAATGCCCATAGAAATCCTGGCTATCGTAGTCTTGTTATTTTTAAAACTCAACTTCTTTAATGATACGGAAAGGTCTTCAAAATTTTTTTTACACACATACAGTCTCATTTCAATTAGGTCAAGACCTTTGACTTTTTTTTCTCTATTTCAATATTTTTCACATAAAACAGCACCTCTAGCGAGTTACAGTTTACTCGTCCATATGTGTGCGCACGTCCACACGCACAAACACACATACACACACACATGATGTAATGCCCCATAACCTAAAGGATGAATTAAACCTACTCTTTTTTCCTTATACATTTATTTATTTCTCAACCAAACTATCCATTTTTATCAGAGTCATCTAGTCATTCAAACAAAATAAAACATAAATCAAAATATGCATATAACATATTTCTTTCAAAATATTTAAATAATAATAGTTCATAATAATATTATTCTAACAAAAGATTTAAATACATTCTGAACCACAAAATCCAATGTACCTTATAAAACTAGATTTTTTGTTAGTTATCAGACTCAGTGCCACACCCTCGAATCTAAAGTGGAAGAATTATTTCTCTCGTCTTTTATTTTCCTTCATTTTCTCCATTTTCAATTCATATTATTTCTTATTTTTGGTTAACCAATACACAATTATAACCATATCAACAAGAACTAGAGCCTACTAATTCATTAAGGTAAAATAATATAAGCAATTAAAAAACTTATATTATTAAGGTCAATATTTTTATTTCCTCTAACTTCTTTTCCTCCAGAATTTCTACACTCCAAGAAAGTCAGAAGAGCTATCTGATCCTTCTACAAAATCACCCGCTCGACTCGACACTTACTGTGGCTTTAGAAGGTATTAACTATTCTCTATCTTCTCTCCAAGGCGCCTGGATTATCTGGCTTATCCAGTGAGCTAAAGCCAAGTGGCTTTCTTCTGGCGAAAATGATGTGGGCTTTTTTTATGTCAGGATTAAATCTAGGAATAACCTAGCCACACTAGAACTTATCGCTGATGAGGGCCACTTCACCTCTTACGAGGGCATTGCTTATGCTACCACTCAATATTTCAAAAAGCTCCATAAGTCCCCTAATTCCTCAACCCACCATGATATTCCTAGTGGAAGTACTATCCCTACTCACGTTATGAATTCTTTCATTGCTTATGTTTTTGACTCAGAGATCAAAGATGTGGTTTTTGCTTGGTTGTCCTCCTTTTCGCCAGGCATTGACAGTTTTACTTTTGAATTCTACAAAACTTCTTGGAACATTATTGGTTTGCAAGTGTGCAATATCGCCAAGAATTTTTTAGCTCAGGCGATCTTCCCAAACATGTTAAAGCCACCGCCATTACTTTAATCCCTAAATGTACTCATGCCACTCATATCTCTGATTACCGTCCCATTCTCTGTGTAATGTGTTCTATAAAATTATTGCTAAGTTCTTGGCTAACCGTATAAGGGTTATCATGCCACTTATCATTCATAAAAGTCAAGCGCGCTTCATTTACAAGAGAATATCTTCTGATAACATCATATTGGCCTTTGAAATTCTGAGGGATTTTGATGCTGCTGCAAGTAATAACTTTTTCTTTGCTAAATTGGACATCAGTAACTATTTTGATATGATTTCTCGTGAGTTTCTTTTTTTCAAGGCAGCTCTTAAAGGGTTTTCCATCCAAGTTTGTTAATTGGATTAAATGTTGCATCAATGAGGTTCCTTTTTTCATATGCATTAGTAAAGTCCTAAAAGGTTTTTTTACTTCGTCTTATGGGCTTAGGCAAGGCTGCCCTCTTTCTCCTTTGTTGTTTTCCATTGTGATAGAAAATTTTTATTGTGCTTTAGAGGCTAGCAGTTTCATGGGTGTCCCTTGTGGCTTAAAGAACTTTAATCATCTATTATATGCATATAATTTTTTGGTTTTTGGGTTGGCCTCTATCACTAATTCCTTATGTTTAAAAGATATTATTTCCACCTTTGTTGTTTCCTCTGGGCTCCACATTAACAATCTCAAATGCTTTATCATGTTCTCTCAAAATTCCCTTACTGCTAATGACATTACCTCTATTCTTGGCTTCTCTTAATTAGAAGCCATTATGAAGTATATTGGCCTCCCTATTTCAAAAAAAAAAAAAGGTTTATGCTCACTTCCATCCACTCCTGAGTAGGATTTCTACTATACTTGTTGGTTGAAAAGTTAAGTTTTTGTCTTTTACCGGTAGGATTTAATTTCTGAGATTCATCATTGCTAACACTAGCTTATTGGATTAGGGGGGCTATTATGCCCAATGTTTGTTGTAAGGTAATAGATAAACTTGCTCCATATTTTGTTTTATGGTTCCACTTCAGCCAAAAAATTGAACCTCATCGCGTGGAACATAACATGTTTTTCTACTTTCTTTGGTGGTCTGGGTATCCTTGCAATCCAATCTTTGTATCATGGTTTCAGCTACTCTTTTATTTGGAGGTTATTTTCTTTTGATTCTCGGGTGGCGGATTGGCTTCGTTTTAAATATGTTTCACCTTGGAAACAACCACCCATTATAACTTCCAAATTCTGGAAGTTTATATGCCTCATTGCTAATCATATTAAGGAGACAATTAAGCTAATTGTTAATGTTGATGATTGTAAGATGTCTATGTTCGGGGACCCTTGGTGTGATTGCTTAGCTATTTTTGAATTTATGCAACCGCCAGCTTCTGCCCACCCTTCTCTGCACGATTTTATTTCTTTGGGTTTTTGGGTTCTCCCTGATTATATCCCCTCGTTGGCTGATTCTAAAATATGTTCTGTCTTTATTAATAAACAGACCCTTGCTAATATCACTTGGATTGGAATTGACAAGCCCAACTTTAAAACTTTCTCGATGCACTATTTTTTTTATTTGAAAGTTGTTCCTTGGTACAAATACATTTGGCACAAATGATCTACTCTTAGATTTTCTTCTTTTGTTTGGGTGGCAATGAGGATTAAAGTGTTCAACATTTAATGTTTCAATGTTATTTCTCTTTCTATGTTGTTTCTTCTCTACTTTCATTTTTGGATGGATTTCTTCTCAAACCGACTTTGCTGCAATTGTTTGAATTTATTGGTGATCTACAACACTTGAATTCTCTAGGTAATTTTTTTTTTTGTTTTCTTGTGATCTACTATTATGTATACTTTCTTTGGAGGGAACGTAATGATAGTCGTTTTGAGAATTCTGAAGCTGCTCCTCAGTTCATCCATAGCAAAATCATTAATGCTCTTTCTGCGAAGGTTTCTAAATGGAAAATTTATGCAGGGATTCATTCACCTTGCCTTCCCCTCGTGCTTCAGGTCATTTGTCTGAATACAACGTATGACCTATTTGTCTCAAAATATTTTTTAATGAATTTTAAGACAACTTTGTTCAACTTTTAATGGAGATACAAAAAAGTTGTGTTTTTTTTTTTTTGGGACATTTAGGCCATTTAAGGCAAACTCACACACACTACGCATACACATAGACTTGAACCCTGAACCTCTTAGTTGAAAGCCTAAGCTCTCAACCAATAGGCCAAGGAGATTTGTGTAGTTGTGTTTTTTCTATGACTATATTGGAAGGAGGCTCTTATTCCACACGGCAAGAGACCCCAACCTATCAAGCTCTGTCGCTCCCCAATCCCCATAAATTCCTCCCACTCTTTCTCGAACCCAAAGCAAATTCTCCATTTTTCACTCTTACACCGTCCTGTTCCTCCGGCAACCACACGAACGACTCTCTCCGCCGCCATGGATCAACTCGGCCCCCACTCAGCAAATAACAGCCCCCTCTCTCCTCTAGGCTTCATCGAACGCACCGCGATCGTTCATGGCGACCGCCCCTCCGTCGTCTACAACCAGAAGGTCTACACCTGGTCGGAAACCTACCGCCGTTGCCTCCGCCTCGCCTCCGCCCTCTCCTCCCATCTCCGCATCTCCCCCGGTGACGTGGTTCGTTCCATTCTCCCCTCAATTTCCCCCAATTCATTTTAACCCTTATTCATCTAACATTAAATTGATCGAAGTAGGTCTCCGTTATCTCCCCTAACATTCCCGCCATGTACGAGATGCACTTCGGCGTGCCGATGAGCGGGGCAGTTCTTAACACCATCAACACCCGACTCGACTCGAGGACGATCTCCGTCCTCCTCCGCCACTCTGGATCCCGTCTCCTCTTCGTGGACATCCTTTCTCTTCCTCTGGCCCGCTCCGCCTTCGAGCTCCTCCCTGCCGATCATCGCCCCCCTCTCCTCATCCCCATCGAAGATCCCTACGAAGATGACAGTGATCTCACCGGCTTCGACCTCACCTACGAAAAGGTCTTAGGTCTCGGAGACCCGGATTTCCGGTGGATTCGGCCGACGAGCGAATGGTCTCCGATGATCCTGAACTACACGTCCGGCACGACATCTGCGCCGAAAGGCGTCGTTCATTGCCATCGCGGTATCTTCCTCGTCTCCACGGACTCTCTCATAGACTGGTGCGTCCCGCATCACCCGGTTTTCCTATGGACCCTGCCGATGTTCCACGCCAATGGCTGGTGTTTCCCGTGGGGCGTCGCCGCGGTCGCCGGCACAAACGTCTGCCTCCGTCGATTCGATGGCCCAGCTGTCTTCGCCGCCATCGCCAACAATCGCGTCACCCACCTCTGCGGCGCCCCGGTGGTCCTAAACATGCTGGCAAATTCTCCACCCACCGCCAGCCGCAGCCTCCACGGAACCGTGCAAATCCTGACCGCCGGCGCGCCGCCTCCCGCTGCAGTCCTCGCCCGCGTCGAATCCCTCGGATTCGCTGTAAGCCACGGCTATGGCCTCACTGAAACCGCCGGGCTGGTGGTGTCCTGCGCCTGGAAGGGGTATCATTGGGACCGGTTGCCGGCAGGCGAGCGGGCGAGGATGAAGGCAAGGCAGGGGGTGAGGACGCCGATGATGACGACGATGGACGTCGTTGACGAAGCCAACGCTCGCAGCGTGCCGTGGGATGGATTGACGATGGGGGAAGTTGTCCTGCGCGGCGGGCATGTGATGTTGGGGTATTTGAAGGACAAAGAGGCGACGGCGAAGGCAATTAAGGATGGATGGTTCTACACCGGCGATGTCGGTGTGATGCACCCCGACGGGTATTTGGAGATTAAAGACAGATCTAAGGATGTGATCATCAGTGGCGGAGAGAACATCAGCAGCGTGGAGGTAGAATCCGTAATGTACGGGCATCCTGCTGTGAACGAGGCGGCGGTGGTGGCGCGGCCGGATGAGTATTGGGGAGAGACGCCGTGCGCGTTTGTTGGGTTAAAGGAAGGATTAGTCGGGCCGCCTCCGACGGAGGCGGAGGTGATTGCTTGGTGCAGGGAGAAGATGCCGCACTATATGGTGCCCAAGACGGTGGTTTTTCAGCCGGAGTTGCCCAAGACGTCGACGGGTAAGATACAGAAGTATGTTCTTAGGAATATGGCGAAGAAACTTGGACCGCTCGCCGGCGGCGGTGGAAAACGCGGTAGTCCGACTACTCAGGCGAGTAAGTTGTGAACTTTGGGTGGGCTCATCGGATATTTTCGCTTGTGGTATTCTGAACTCTGTTTACCTCTACTCAATAATTTTGGTATCTATTAGTGTTAATTGATGGAATTTAACTCGTTTGGGATGACTTTTTTGCTGCTTCTTAAAGCAATTTTTTAGTATAAAAATTAAAATTTTGTGCTAAAAAACTATTTTAAGAAACAGTAAAGAAGCGATCCCAAACAAAGCCTAAATCTTACTGCATACGAATTTGGATAGCTTCTGTGGCTTGTATTTGATGAAATGCTGCCCCTATTGCGGTCGATTTTTTATGAGGCGATTTGTAAGTTGAATTTGAAATATTAAGGTGTAGTGTATTTGAAATATTTAAAATTATTCGAATGAGTATAAAAAATGCATAATTTTTTTTTTATTTGGCTTGAAATACAATAAATATAATATAAAGTAAAATGATAGTGGTGGACGATAATAGTGATTGACTATTAACAGCTGATTGAGAAACTAGCAAAGCAACAACTAATTAAAGCAAACAAATAAAATCAAGATAGTGTATATTTGCTTACATAAAAATGAAATTAGTACATATGGGGTAGTGGAGACATAAACAGTTACTCTAACATTTTCAGGTATATATTTATTTTGTATTTTATCTCTAACAGTGAAGCTACTCACCCACTTGAGCATCCTCATCTTTGCAACACTCAACTTAATTTCATGTCTCTCTTTAAATAGCCAATATTATGCTCAAATACAAATGAAAAATGAATAAATGAATTTAAAATTAATTGAGTGTCAACAAATTATTCACAAATAATTTTTAATGTGAGCCAAATTTAAATGAAAAAAAGTTTAAAACAAATTAACAAAAATAAATAATATAATTAGTCAGATTAGGGTTGTTTACACCCGATAGTATGTGCAATCATCCATTAACTAGGGAGGAATTGATGCTCTTCATGTAGATTATCTTGTTCTCTTGGTTCAGAGCTTACACTATCAATCTAGAGATATTGCGCTCGAATTTTATGTATACGATATATTTATGAGTTTGCTTCGCTTAAATGTAAAAAAAAAAAATGCTCTTGAGTTTGAGGAATTATTCTGTGTGGACACCAGACTGTTCAGAGTCAAATCTGAGCGGCCACATCACATATACAAAAAAATAATAATAATGTGACGCGTTCTTAATAAGCTTATCCAAGTTGATGTCAGCTTTTCTTAGTTTTCTTCTAGGTGTCAGCTTGCTCTGTCTTTTTTTGGCTTCGTGGAGCTAACTTGAAAGCCCCGCCCATGGACGTTCTAGACATGTGAGAGGGGTGTTCTATTAATATGATTAACAAATAACTAAAACCTATGAACGCAAATCACAATGAATATATATATATATATATATATATAATATTTCTAGAAATTTTTGTAAGTAATCTCACAGATAGAAAATAAAATAAAACAGAAATTAATTAAATAATGAATTTGTATTTACATATTTAAAATAAAATATTATTCATATATTTTAAATTAATTTATTTGAAATGAAATTGCACGCAAGTCAATAAGCTCAACTAAAGCTTAAATTATTAGCTTGAACAGTTGTGCTCACGAGTTATTTTATCCTGTCAAGCACATCAGAAGCTGTGTTGTATGCTTACCAGACACCCACATAGCTATCAAAAAAATTGGAACTTAGCTGATAGGCAAATTTTGTTTAATTTTGGACAGCTTGCCTTCTGAAGAGTCCTTTCCAATCAATTTTCAGTCTTCAACAGCTTAGTTAGGGGAGGTGGAGGTGAAATTATTACTTGCAGTCACCAGGCGGATGTTGTCTGGAGGCGAATTAGGATGCACCACATGATGCTGTGTACCGGATGACGTGGAGCATCCTAATTTATTTTCGAACAATTTGGTGCCCATACATAATAATTTCTCCAATTTAAAACAAAGTCTCTCTCTTTTCTCCTATCTGCCTAATTAAAGTTAAATTAAGATAAATTTATACACACATCAAATACATAAGATTTGAGCTTAAAATTTTTTAATTAAGGATTAAAACTCTTAACTAATAGATCAAGATGAGCTTCAACTGCTCTTGTATGTCAATGATAGTGGGAAACTGGAGTCTGCCAACTACTTTCTAATTTGCAGGAGTGCTATAATGAGATAATTTTTTTGGGGGGCAATCTATAATGCAATAATTGATATTAAAATATTATAAGATAATCTCCAATAGAACAGCTATTTGCCGTTCTTCTGCCACTCCAACCGAGCATCAATTTTGCTACTATTTCATCGCGGGTGAACAGTATGACACCAATATTGACGTCACACCATTCATCCACTAAATTTGTATGTGTCAAAGGAATTTGGCAGCAAAATGGAGAAAAACGGTTACCACATAAACGAGATGATAAAGCCGGCAAAATAGAGTTCGATTGGAACATAATTACCGCATTTTAGAGTTTTACTATATTTTACAGTAAAAAATGGAGTTTTCAGTTGGATATGCACTAATATATAGCAAAAGACAACTTATTTGTCTTATGCTAGAAGATTTCTCTTCTTATCCTGTCCTAGCAATGATTGGCATCAAATTTTTTTGTTTAAAAAGCAGTGAATTATTGCCTCGTCTGCAAATATTAGTATTCTATGTGACTTATTAAAAATATTCTTTCAGATGAATCTTTTTTCCTTGTTGATGTCACTCTTTTAATTTGCGAGTTCTTCAATATAGGGATCTTTGCGGTCATAATCTAATGAGAAAAGTTCTCTGATTTCCATTTGGGTTACTAAGATTTTCATTTGGGACAGTTTTATATTATTTTCTGACGTCCCAGAAACCGCAAGCAGATAATGGACTCTTCACTACATATTTGTGCGGTAGAACTGAGAAATCGATTAAACCTTAAGCGGCAACTGGCAACAACCCATTATGTCTAAGTAGGGCTTCAGGTGAAGGTTCTCGTCCGCGAAATTCAATGAAAACCTGAGAAAAGAAACAATCAAATGGGAGTTAAAAGACAGAGAAGCAAATAAGAAAAGAAAACCAGACAATCAATCCATTTGGTATTGTTTTTTTTATTAAAATGGATAAAAAACTATGATGCAATTTATATCAGGATAAGGATGATAAGATAATATATTCAAAGTTACAAGACAAATGTTTAAATTTTGTGTTAAGACAATCAATCAATCTATATGGTATTGTTTTTTTTATTAATGTTTAAATGTCTTTTAATTTTGAACATTTATCTTATATTATGAACATTTTGCTTATCATCCAGACATCCAGATACAAATTGAATAGGAAAATCTTAATTTTTTTTCTAAAAAAAAAAACCATGAACATACGGCAGCTACAACTACATAAATAGAAAAGGGAAGTCAAAGACAAAATAAAAAATTATGAACATTTTGTCTTATCATCCAGATACAAATTGAATAGGAAAATCTTAATTTTTTTTCTAAAAAAAAAAACCATGAACATACGGCAGCTACAACTACATAAATAGAAAAGGGAAGTCAAAGACAAAATAAAAAATGCTCGTAGCCCAAACAGATTAAAACAAAGCATCGAGGATAGAGATGATTTTTAAAAGGCATTTTAAGCCATCTGCTTATCTTACCTCAAGTGGTGGTTTCCCACCTCCAAGAGCGAGAATGGTTTCTCGGAACCTCCGACCAGTTTCCTTGATAGCCTATCAAATTCCATGAAAAGAATATTACAACTTTTTCAATCCAATTAACATAAATTAGAATAATTTCAGTGAGTAATAGAAAGGCTATTATGAAAATAAGAGGCCCAAAGAAAAGATATGAAAACTGTAGAAATAACTCAACAAATCATTTTGTTAACTTTGAAGCATAGCGAAGAAGCTGTCAAGAAACTCTATGAAGCAACTGTTATTCCCTAGTGATGGTTGAGCAAAAAGCACAAAGTTGAATTTGGAGAATTCTAAACTTTGAATTTACTTAGCATTTCAAATCTTGGTTTGGTTTCCTCTAGGAATTATGAATTATTACAAGAAAAATAATTGTGATTGTACAAAAGAAACATGAATAGATTCTAATGAAAAGCAATCAAAACTACATTGCTGTGATCTCAACTTATGAAGCAAGGCAAACGTAGAACAGCTGCAAAAATAAATAAGTAAACACCATAAGATTGCACAACAGAGCCCTGCATCGGGTACTCATACCCACACCCACTCATGTACCCACCAATACCCAATGGTGATGGGTGGGTATGGGGTACGCCCATGACCATGTGGGTGGATATGTATGGGTACTCAACATCGGTGAATAAATCGATTTACATTGTTAATTACTGTATATCTTATATTACTGCAATCCTCACTACGTAATGTGCAGCACTTAACCATGTTGTGACTACGGTAAATTCTGATATGCATCTTGAAAGTTTACAATCATAGCAAAGAGCAACAAGCCTCAAGGTCATCAATCCGTGGCAAGACTGCGTTCAAAAAACATGGAAAGTTGGTAGGTATAGGTGTGTATGACATCCTAAAAGTCACCATGGGTGGGTGTTGGGTGGGCAAAGCCTGTCCGAGCAAAGCATGGGTACCCAATGGGGACCCAACCAGAACCCCATGTAGGGCCTTGTTGCACAATTAAAGATGTTCCAAAATTTGCTTGAATAAGCTAAAGATCGATATGGTGTATGACATAATAATCTGTTATCTAGAACCAGACCAAAATAATTACCTTTTCGTTGTCCAACCCAGCATCCTCAAATGCCGAAAAAGCGTCTGCTGAAAGCACCTCTGCCCACTGCAAAGTCAGTAATTTTTTGTTTTAATTTTCCGATGAATAGAGGACAAGGGAGATTGCAGCAATGCATTCAAGATTCGCATGCATAATAATTAGCAACAAGTCTTCTTCATGGATTTGAAAACCAAGTAGAAGCCATTAACCCAAAGTTTTGGTTCAAAACTCATATGATTTGCAATAATAAGAACAATTTAAAGAACAAGCAGACTATGATAAATGAAACATCAAGCGAAATTGTTCACCAACTGAATTTGATGATACTATCGTGAAATCTTATCATATTTGCAATAAAGTCTCATTTGGTTTGAACGAAAATTAAAATTCTAATGAAAATTTGCAAACACTATTTTTGAATTAAAGATTTTGCCAAACTAAATCCCCTTTGTTTGGTTGGATGCAGTTTTAACAATAAATTTCAAACCATTATTTGGGTGGATGCATCTCTAAATTCTTATTTGTTGCTAGAGCCCAACCAAAACATAACCTAACTAGAGCCGGCTAGAGACCAATTGGAGGTCAACATAGCATAGTCGATAGATGCCATACATTTTGAAATTTGAAGCCAACCTGTGCCACTAAGCAAATTGGTAAGAGGTTGTCAAACCTTGCCAAATATTAGAGGGACATGGCAAGCTCTCAAGGGACCATGTCGCAAAGGTTTAATTCATGACTTCAATTTCACTCATATCCGATTCCAACAAATAGTATGAATCGATCTTTACTTCTAATTACATCTAAGAGGGTATGAGGGGAGTTGGCACAGCTTCGAGTGAGAGATAGGGAGTGGGATAAGTGTAGGGGCGGAACCTGCTTTTGTTTTAAAGGTGGGCAAACATATCATATAAATAAATTATTATTAAAAAAATAAAAATATACTATTATAATTGATAAAATGAGTAATGCTTATAAACTTATCAAACTTTTTTTTTTCCAAAAATGTTACATTAGAATTTCATTAGGAATAAAATTAAATACTTAATTTTTGAAGTAAGGTATTAAATAGTCATTGAGCCAATCATTACTCATCCTACTATGTAATCTCAACCCATTATTTTCTCTCCAAATGTTGATCTTTGTTGACCTCAGTATCAAATCAAAACAAAAAAAAGAGAAAAAAAATGAAAATACACGCTCAAATCCATACCTACGCAAATACTGCAGAAATCCCGCAATGAATCCTGCTGAATCGGCGTCGTTTGCATCACTTCCCGGAATTCCTGCGTAAAACCTGCGACGACGGCCTCGATTTCGCTCCTTCTCCCGCCGTTAAATACCGACTCAAAGGGGATCATTCGGCTGTTGCTTCCTTCTGCCGATCCCGAGCTTCTCCCTCTCCCGATCGCAGACACCGACGCTCGACCCCCATCTCCCTTTCTCCTCTCTGTTCGAGCAAAAACCTCAGGCCGAACTCCTCTCGACCTCCTTGCGTCTCCGACGCCTCCACCGAGAGAGAGAGAGAGAGAGAGAGAGAGAGAGAGAGAGAGAGAGACCGATACACATACCTGTAGCCGCACGCCTCTCCACCTCACACGATCATCTCCGACTTCAAGCCCCCGATCGCAAGCCCAGGTCAAACGTTCCTCTGCCCTAACCCGACACCAGCTCCGGCCGAACCCCTCCTCCGTCTCCCTCCTTGTTCCGATTGAAAGTTACAACATTTTGATCGGACGGGAGCTCGCTAGCTGGGCAGGTAACTTTCTCCCTTCCGAGCGCTTGATCGGCCAAATCCCGTACATATGCTGAGTATATATATATACGCGCCGAACGCACGCATGGCATTTGTGAGGCGTTTTAGGAAGGATTTTTTGAGGAAATTTAGGAGGGAAATTGAATGTAGGGACTGTTTAGAGATTTCCTTTTGAATTGTATGCATTAAATAGTTTGTTTTCCTAGGACTAGGGCATCTTGAATTTGGCTGAAATTTGAGATCTCCTAGATTTAGGTTTTCTTTGAGCTCTAGCGGCGTCTAGAGATTTGGGAGAGATCGATCCTCCTCTCAAATTGAGGATCAACTGTATCTTACTATTTTCCATTTCTATTTCATCAAATAATACAAATTTTATATTGTTTACTTGGTTTTGTGTAGATTCTTGTGAAGGATTTTTGCAGGATTTTTGCAGGATTTTTAAAAAATTGATAGGAAATACTTGAGATCTACAAGTGTTTCCGATCAAATTGGTATCATAGAACTTTCTTGGGCGGAAAAATAAGATATCTTGGTTGTTTTGCAATTGGAGCCTAGATCCAATTAACAAAGAAGATGGAGGCGTTGGAAGGCGAAATGGAGCAATTTAAAACCGGCTTGGAGAAGTTCTTTACATGGGGAGAAAAATTTTCATATATGGAAAATCGTTTTAGAAGGGTGGAGGAGATGTTAAGAAGGCTCTTGGAGATGCAAACAAACACTTCACTAGTAGTTCCAATGGCTAACCCTAATCAATATTTGACCAGGATTCCCTTGGTCGAATCGAAGGGAAAGGAGATCAGACAAGAGAAGTCTGACGAGGGAAGTTTCTTTCATCAAGAGCCACCTCCTGTGGCTCCGATAAGGGGTGGGGTGGATCAGGGTTTCTGGATAAGAAGACAACAAAGATGAAATCTTTTGGTGGAGGCGGTAGGGCGGCCGGCCACTATGAGAGGCATTTTGGGAAAGGGGAGCCACTCATCGGAAGAGGGGGTCAAGAGCCACCTCCTAGGGCTTCGATAAGGAGCGGAATAGGTTCAGCGGATGGGAGGACAACAGGAAGGGCATTTCGTGGTGAAGGAGGTGGGGTGGTCGACCATTATAGGAGGCCTTTTGGGCAAGGGAAGTGGAGTACCGAAGGAGGGGGACGGGCCGAACCATGAGGATGTGGTCATTGGAGGCGAAGAGAATGAATGAGGGATTTCCACCCTCGATACATGGGGGAAATATGGAGAGATCACGACAATCGCTACATTAGAATAAGAAGATATTGTTGTGGTAGTGATCCTAGGGTGAGGAAGTTGGGGATGCCAGTATTGGAAAGGGATGATGCTTATGGGTGGGTGTACCGGGCAGAGATGTATCTCATGGTGAATGGGGTGACGAAGGAGGAGAGACTGGGGACAGCGGACCTATGTTTGGAAGGAAAACCTTTAGCTTGGTTTCAGTGGACAATAGCATGGCCACTAACAGAGCAGTTGAAGAAAGCTATCAACAAAGTCCCATCCTTCCACCTTGAGGAGAAGGTGGATCTTTGGGAGGGGAGTATTGTTAGACTAGTCCATTGGATCGGTCCATCCGGTCCGACTGGACCGGCCTACGCAAACAAAGGTGGATTTCTCCGAACGTGAGGCGTTTTAGGAAGGATTTTTGAGGAAATTTAGGATGGAATATGAATGTAGGGACTGTTTAGAGATTTCCTTTTGAATTGTATGCATTAAATAGTTTCTTTTCCTAGGGTTAGGGCATCTTGAATTTGGCTGGAATTTGAAATCTCCTAGATTTAGATTTTCTTTGGGCTCTAGCGGCATCTAGAGATTTGGGAGAGATTGATCCTCCTCTCGAATTGAGGATCAATTGTATCTTGCTATTTTCCATTTATATTTCATCAAATAATACAAATTTTCTACTATTTTCTTGGTTTTGTGTGAATTCTTGTGGAGGATTTTCGCTGTTTTTCAGAGATTGATAGGAAATACTTGAGATCTACAAGTGTTTCCTATCAAGTTCCCTCCTAGTTTCTCCAAGCCAAAGACCTTCTATCCCCAATTTTTATTCCCTATTGTTAGTAGGTGTAGAGATTGAGAAAAATAAGACTGCGGCTTTGCATGCAATTTCAACCACCTGATGGAAATTTCCTGATTGGGAAGGTAGATAAAACCAAAATCAGGGTATTGAAAGGCTAGATTGGGTAATGGCAAAACTAAACAAGCTAAGCTGAGCTCACCTTGGGTTTGATTTGACACAATTCTGGTCAGTCCAACTGTAATAAATTTGATTTGACTCAATAGAACTTAATTAGACTCGATTTAATTTAAAGCAATTTGACTCGATTCAACTTGAATTAATTCAAATTGATGTGATTTGACTCGGTTCGACTTAATTCGGGTCAATTAAATTAATTTTATTCGATTTGACTCAAATTGAAGAAATTAAAGTTGAATAAAAAAATAAATCGATTAAATTGAATTAATTGATACAATTTAATCGATTTGAGCTGATTTTAAATAAAATTGAGTCAAATCTAATTAAATTGAATCAACTTGGGTCAAAATTGAGTTGAAACTTATTTATTTATTTATTAAATTAAGACAAGTTGATTCAAAAAATGAGCGAACACTACCAATCTTCGGCCTAACTGAATAAAAGAACCCATGTCATTGATCTTTGGTCTGAATTAGTTTAAAGGAAAATCCCTCTGTCGTTAAACATTAGTCTAACATATGAGGTCTCTCATCCCTTCGTTGATTCTTGGTCCAAACATAAGTTTTTTTTTTTTTTTTTACCATGGAGGTTGCATGATAAAAAATTCAATAGTGATTCTCCGACTGCTATCAAACAATTTTCATCATGTCCAACGAGTGATTTTAAATTCATTGTTACTTCCCATCTCTTTGACCACTCTACAGGGAGAATTGGATGCCGCCCTTAAGATACTAAACAAAATATAATTTTGCAAATAACAACATAAGAATTATTTCAATTTTTGACAAAAACTTCAATTAATTATGCTCGAGTATCCAAGACAATTTTTCCAATGCCCATTATTTGAGAATGAAAAAGAACTAAATGCAAGACATGAGAAAAGAGGAAAAATCAAGGCTCATTTCATACCTTGTAACTGTAATATCCAGCTGCATATCCACCTATAAGCCAAACATAACAAAATTGAGCACAATAAATTTTGGATTAGCAAAAGAGAACTCTAAAAAAGAAACAATCAGAAAAATAGCAAGGAAAACCTCCAAATATATGGCTGAAACTGCAAAGAAATCTGTCTTCTAACAAGGGAGGAATAACTTGTGTTCTCTTTCCTACTCTTTGATCAACATCATAGATAGATTCAGGCCCGCCAGGAATATATTTTGTATGCAGTTCCAAGTCCATGCTAGCAAATCGTATCTGCCAATTGGGAAAAGTTTTAAGGGGAAAAACCTAGCATTGAAATACATCAGACAATAAAAACACTTCAACAAAAGCCCAATAAAACTGCACATACATTCTAGTTAAGAACGAAACAAAGCTGGTAAGCTTCCATGAATGACTCAAATTAGAAAACGCAGATCAAAAGCATTTATCACATCAATGAACATATCAAAGAGTCTAAACTGATAGGACATAGAAATTAGCTCCTAAATCAAATTAAAAGATTCAGTGTGAGGAGGACAGGATTTTCCCTTCCAGCGGTAAAGTAAAAACTTATTTACATCAAATTTCCAAGAAATAAACACCAATATGCTGAACAAGCTTAATAAGCATGTCAATTCCATCCTTCGCTTCAAACAAGCAGTAAATTTTATTGGCAAATACAAGAGCTGTACTGGCAATATATGACCCAAAGCATATCCATATGCTTTCCTAGTGCATTATATAAACTCCTTGACAAGGAATAACATTGGCCATAACTTCATCTGGATCATAATAGCGTTTCTTTGGAAATAATTTTTGATAAAATGCAATAATGTTTATTAAAACTTGCTATGGTTGACAACCAACCTGTCGAAGACTCAATGAGCCAGCACGAAACGTTTTTGCAGCAAGAAGTTTTTGATAAACTTCTTCAGGAAGAGATTCTCCAGTTTCATAATGTTTTGCTATGCTCAGTAGAGTATCTCTACAAAATAAGAATAGAAACAAGTTATTTGGTTAGTGCACCAAGAAATATTTAATAAAAAAATCAACATCCAACATCCATTTTTCTAAAAGAATGATTCTCAACCCACATCAACATGCATGACAAGTACTCTACTTCTAACAGTCTAACATGAGAATATATATTCAATGTCGGTACCACCCCTTCGGGAAAAAAAAAAAAGCTTTTCACCATATAAAGTGTCACAATCAAACTCATAACGATATGGGAATTCCTGCTCCTAAATCTATTAGGACCAAAAATGACTTAGACCACTTGATGACAGCCAAAACATAAGCTTTGATACCACTTGCGCTACTCCTGCACTTTTGAGAAAATACATGGCTACAACTGCTGCATGTATTACACGAGAACATTCAGTTAACTAGCTAATAACTTAAGCTCAGCAGATAAGCTCAAGCGCCATGCTAGTCAGCCAAACGATAGTATAACTTAACGATATTTCCTGCTTGCCCTGCCTTCCCTGGTTTGATGAAAGCTGCAGATTTAAAAATCCCCAAAACATACAGTAAACATTAATTCAGATATCAGGTTTTGGGTGTTGCCTAAGGTTGGATTTATGAATTCTTATTTTCCATTCGCTAAAGTTGGGTGTTGCATTAGGTGTCCAACATACTCTTCATAAATCATTTAGAATAATTTCTACACATTACATTAAATCTGCCCATTTCCTTCCTAATTATCAGACAATAATTTTATTTACTCGCTAAATGTGTATATTTTTTAATACCAGCAGCGCAAATTTGATCTACCCATCTCATGGTTGTCTATTTTCTATCATTTAGTTATAAATGCTGAAATTATCCAAGTATATTTTCAATTACTTTATCTATGATAAAAGTCACTACAATCATTCCTTAATTACACTTCCTAATTTTGCCACACATCCACCTATAACATACACATTTTTGCCTCAACTTAGTTATCAAAACACGCTTCAATATTAGACCAAAAACTCAAATCCATCCAAGTTCGCCTAATTACAATTTTACAAAACTTACATTCAAGTCCCTGTTATAACCTCTAATTACATAATACTCCTAAGGCACCTGTCCATTTTAGCTATCAAATCTTAGATCTATAATTTATCTCCTCATCAATTTTGCTTTCTTCAATATAATGGATCCAAGGTACTTAAATCTAATACAGTTAAGTTGAGTACAGGTAGTCAATTAAATTGGGGAATGCTAAAAAATCAAGATCACAAGGTTCGTCATAATGGGTTGTCATGAACCCTAACCTATTTAGTCAATGAGATACCCAACCCAACCTAATTGAAGAATATTTGTCGGCAGTCATGTATAGCATAATCCAATGAAATATTACAGACCTATTGTGGATATTTGTCTAAGGGTGCAACTTTAAATCGACCTTAATTAACAGAGGTATTTGTGCCTTATCAATTGCACCAAATGATACAACTCAAGGGGGAAGAACGAATGAGGAACATTCACGTTTTGACCATGATCATAATATAATGGTGTCATTTTACGATGAAACAATCTAATTAGAAGGCCCTGACCATTATAATTATCTATTGGTGTTATTTAGTGACAAAATTATCTTATTAGAAGACACGTGAGGCATACTTATAGGTATTAGATCTTTTGAAAGTAACCATAATGATACAGTTGATATGAAATTGGCTCTTTGTGAGTTAAATTTATCTTAATTGTAACCGTTAACAAACTGTTGTGAAAGATGAATGATTGTTGCTTTAAACTTAAAGCAACTAATTTTGCTTTAATTATTTTTAAATTTCTATAAATATTTGTTTTTTTATATTTTTTTCATCAAGATTTAAGCTCCAAATAGTTTGCTTTGAAATTTGGGACATTTTGATGATAACATTTCCTCCAATTGAAATTTTATGTTAATGTAGCCATCATTGGAGTGGTACTTCTACATCATGTATATTCAATATTTGAAAACTCGATTATGATCTACAATATATGCCCATCATAAGGGTATCTTAATGATAGCATTAGATTGCTTGGAGCCCTACCTCCTATGATTCATTGCTCGTAAAGGATTGAGTGTGAGTGTTGCATATTATTTAAGTTTATTTAGATATCTAGAACCTTATAAAGTCTGGCCCACATATGGAGGATCAGGTCTATAAGATTTAACCCTCTAATTATACCCTATAGATTTGAAACTAAGAGTTTGCATTTTAAAAGTGAGTTTTCATTTAGGAAGTCATGAAAGGCCTTATGCAAATATAAAATAAAAATATCATGTTTAAGCTTATGGTGTAGATGTCTGTCAAGATATTCAAATCATTTCAACTCAATCATTGGGATGCGAAAGATCAAACTTGAAGAGCATGACTAATGACTACTTTCTAGGCAGAGTGGCCTTCTCAAGGGCATCTTGCAAATAACGTCAGAACCTGAATTCATATGTAAAATGGATTTTATGATTTTTTTTTAGAAAAGGACACTCACTTTTAAAAGGGGTAGCACGTTCTCAGAGAGGAGAAATTTACTCTCTCGTGCTTTTAGTCCTTGCAGCATTATCCAACTTCAAATTAGGATGATTAGTGTATTTGTCAAAGCTCAACTGAATAATTGATTTCAACTACTTTTTTGTATGGTGTGCATGTCTTTTGGGGCATTTGCACAGCTATCAATGCACTTATACAATGCATTCGTTTGCTCATTAGTGCACTTGTATGCTTATCAATGTACTTGTATGGTAAGTCTATGTGCTTTTTGACATGATGCATTCAAAATTCTGCAAGCTATTTAGTAATGTTGCACAATTTGAAGAAAAAAATTTCAAATTTTCTGGTGAATTTTGTTGTTTGTACAAATGTTATCATTAAGGTGGTGCAGTATTTCACTTTGAGATTTTAGAGAATGTCTTCTACATGTTTGCATGTATATATTAAAAATTCGATTGTGTAAGCTAGGAGTTGGAATATTCTACAGATTTCAATGTCATAATTTTGCTTGCAAATTTGATGTGATACGATCAAGAATTGCACATGAAATTTATAAAGAATCACAAAGTGTGCTAATTTAAGATTAAGGTATCGTAAGATGGTTCAAGAGTTTTCAATTGTCAAAGTTATTATGATAAGCAATTACAAACTTGTGTTTGGACACAATTGGCGATAGATCTTGAAATTATCACAATAAGACAAATGCGGAATAATATAGAATCTCACGGTTAATATTTAGAACATTCACAACGAGTTACCTTGCTCACTCACACTCGAAGTAGGGCTTAGCGGAAGAAGGTCTTTAGCATACCCAACGATGCCATCAGGACGGTAGCAACCCCAACGGCCTTGAACCACGGAAAGGTTGACGGTGGCGAGGATGGCGGGAGTGGTTGACTGTTGATGCTCCAATCGTAGTTTAGAAGTTGACGATCGATGACGCTCGCAAGAGTAGGGACAACTCGATCCAAATAATCTCCAACGGTGGCGTCGTGCTCAAATCCCACGTCGAAGAACGGAGATCGTAGGATGTTGAGATTTCCGTCGGCGTCGAACACAAGTCCCATTCAAGTTCGGGATTTGCCATTCAACATTGAAGTGGAGATGGGGAGGCGTCGTCTTCTTCTTCTCTTGGCTTCAAAGTTCCCACGGGAGGGAGCAGGGAGAGAGGGTGGTGGGAGAAGAGGGAAGAGATGGGCCGGCGGTTCAAGAGGAAGGGGCTAGGATTTGAGGAGGTGATTAGGTTGAGTGTGGGTGGACTTTAATCCAAAAAAAAATCTGAAATAATTTCAGATTTAAGTCAAATTGGAGGGATAACAATTTGGGATTTGAATTTCAAACCTCATGTGATCAATGCCATAAAGTGGCATTTAATGGGAATTAATCCCAAGCAAAGCCGGCGGCATAGAGAGGGGAGAGGAGGGAATTAATTCACAATCTTGAAATTAATTTCAGGATTAAGTAAATTGGGAGGGAAAGTTATTTGAAATCAATTTTAATTTCAAATCGGATGGGGGTATTAAAGGAGCAATCAATGGGGGGGGGGAACCCTCATGGGGCCGGCGGCATGGTGAGAGGGGAGAGGGTGATGTGGGGAGTTACAAGGTTTCCAAAATAGAGAGTTCCAATTTAGGGTGAAAATAAAGTTATCCAATCTAATTTGAAATTAGATTGAATGACATTTCAGACTTTCATAATATGGCGTCTGACAAATTTGGAAAGTTTGGAACTCAAACAATTTTGAAATTTCAAATTTTCAACACGTGGGGGGGGGGGGGAGGGGGGGGGGGGCGGGGGGGGGGGGGGGTTGGGGGGGAGGTTGGGGAGGAGGGGCCGGTGGCTAAGGGAGAGGCCGACGGTTGATTCCTTAAGAAGTCGTCGGGATGGCGTTGGGGCTTGACTTGAAAATAAGCGGAGTGGGGATTAGGTGTTAGGTGAGAATGAAGGAAGCACAAACAAGATAAAACAACTTAACCACGAGCCACGGACTCTTCCAACGACTGGTGGGCCTTACGATTGCTCCCCTTTGAGCTCTCTCCCTTCTCTAGCTCTCATGCAAGAAGAAGAAGAAACAACATAGAAATTTCATTCAAATATTCATTACCCTTTTACAAAGCATAAGACCGCTATATATAGGTCTCAAACACAAAGAAAAGAAAAGTACTCAAATGCCCTTTGGGCCACAATAAGAAAACACTCCCCATATGGGTAAACTAGGGCCACAATAAGAAAACACTCCCCATAGGGGTAAACTAGGAAACGGAAATGCAAATTAAATAAAACATAAAATACATCAAAAGTAAAGACTCTGGATCGTAGCCGTCGATCTGCGCTGTCTCCGACGATACACATGCTTGAACCTCTGATCGATGTCCTCATCAAAATTACGTGTAGTTTTGTGCAAAGGAACCCACGATGAATAAATTTTTCCTCCTATAAATAGTCGTCATAGTTTGTTTCATTTCATTACATTCATTTGAGTTTTTCCAATTACCACTTAGGAGCATTAAAGAGT